AAGACAGTTTGGGACAGTTAGGGCAGTTGGAGAGAGAGAGAGAGAGAGAGAAGAGACAGTGAGATAGAGAGGGATTGAAAGTGTTAAGATAGACAGGTTAGGATTAAGACAGGGACTTGGAAAGCTGGTGTAATGACAACTGAAGGAGCTACAAGAAATAAAATAAACTGTATGAATATTGTAACACAGTAATTAAAGTGAATCTATATAAGTAAATATATCTAAAGTACAAAGCACGTTTAATGAAATGAATAATACAAGTCCATCCATGATTTTCCTTATGTGATTTACCTATTAACCTATAAATAAACATCATTATATTTGACAGCATTGATCCATTATTCATATTTGGTACAGTGAGGAGAATATCCTCTGGTGGCAGCATAAAAAGGAAGAAAAGAAAAAGTCGTGCCCAAAGGTGAACCTGGGCATGTTAGGAAAAACAAACAGGGGAGCTGGGGGTGCGCGACAGGTATCTGGCCAAGGAGCCATAGACTGGAGGTTCGATTTTTCACTGTGCATCCCAGACAGCCCTCCTTTGTGGCCTTGGACAAACTGCACAGACCCAGAATACCTCCAGAAGAAAAGAATAGCATACCACTTTTGAGTCCTCTATACCTAGAAAACCCTGAGAAAAGTTGCCATAAGTTACACATCACAAAGCACTTAATCAGCTTTTGATGACTCCAAAAGAAAAGGATATGCCACTACATTTGATTGTTCCAGTGTGTAATCCATACAGTACACAAGAGGGTAGCTTGAGACAGAATAAGGGGAAACAATGATATTCATTGGCAAAGGTATCAAAGAGAGAGAGAAGAGTTTATTTATCAACTATAAGTCATTAAAATACGTTAAAATAAAATAATAAGCAGCAGGTGAGATAGTTAATTAAAAAGAAAATACAATAAGGCGTAAGCAGGAATCAAAAAGACAAATGTACAGGGAACAAGCAAGCTCGAATGTTAATTGCAGCCAAGGCAAAGTTTGCCATGTTTAAGGTGGTATTGGCGTTAATGTCAGCCAGGAGCCAACAGACCTGGGCGAGATTAGGTCTGTCTTGGATGGAAGTCAGAGAACTTGCCAAAAACCTTAATCTAGGGGAGTGGTAATATGGACATCTCAAAAGGTAGGGATCAAATAAAGTTTTGCTTCATTTCCTTGTCTCTGCAATATCTATGCTGAACATACCATGGTGAAAATTGGATTAGAGTGAGATAAAGGAGAGGTGAAAAACAAGAGGGTAGCTTGAGACAGAACAAGGGGAAACAGTGATATTCATTGGCAAAGGCATCAAATAAAGTTTTGCTTCATTTCCTTGTCTCTGCAATATCTATGCTGAACATACCATGGTGAAAATTGGATTAGAGTGAGATAAAGGAGAGGTGAAAATTGATGGAAGAAATATTAAATTTAAATTATGCAAACAACACAGTCTTACTGCTAGAAAGCAGCAATGACCTGAAACAACTGGTGAAGGTGAAAGCAGAGTTGCGAAATTGGTTTTATAGCCAAACATTAAGAACGCTAAATTAACAACTACAGAAGAATTGGATAACAATAATATTGACAATGCAGAAATGTAAATTATTCAGTATATTCTATGCCTTGATTCCATCGTAAATCCAAATGGAGCTTCTACTCAAGAAATCTGAGATGTGGAAGGGTAGTTATGATGAAACTAGAAAAGATTCTTATGTTTAAGGACATACAGCTGGAAACTAAGGCTAAATTATATGGAGCCAAAGCTCACTGGGCTCCCGCATGGTGCTCAATGTGTTGAGCCTGGGCTGATATCAAGCAGCATGGCAGCCTCGGCCTCGGCCTCTTAGCATGGCCTGGGTGATGGCGGGAGGGGCGATGCTGTGATGTTCTTTCCCTGACCTCCTTTTAGCTGGAGGAAGCAGTGAGCAGGGATGAGGCAGGAAGGCTTCACTCCAAATCCACGGTGTCATATTTCAAGAGAGTCTAACCTGTATTCTATTTATCTAGTTGTATTCAGCAGTTGTGGATGTGGTGGCTCTGTGGGCTAAACCGCAGAAGCCTTTGTGTGCTGCAGGGTCAGAAGACCAGCAGTCGTAAGGTCGAATCCACGCGACGGAGTGAGCTCCCCTTGCTTTGTCCCAGCTCCTCGCCAACCTAGCAGTTTGAAAGCATGCAAATGCGAGTAGATAAATAGGTACCACCTCGGTGGGAAAGTAAACAGCGTTCCATGTACAGTGGGGGCTTGACTTGAGAACCTAATCCGTATTGGAAGGCGGTTCTCAAGTCAAAAAGCTCTCAGGCCAAATCTACACACACACCCCAGAGTCGAACAGGGCTGACTAAATGTCAAGGGGAACCTTTACCTTTACTATTTAGCAGTTGTGTGGCATATCCAGGCTTGCATATGAGTTTATTGTTCCCACCTACGTTTGTGCCAATCTTCCCCTTATTACAACTTTGGGAAGCAGAGTTGTGGGCATTGGGCTAGATCTGTGGGTGAGGAGCAGAAAATGTAGATGGACCCTTCCCAGTGCTGGCAAGAATCCATTTAAGAGAGCTGGCAGTGAAGATATGATTAGGCTTTGCTCACGGGTCAGAAACTCAGCTTCACCTTCAGGTGACAGGGAGCCACAGAGTCGCTATATAAGGTATCTCTGCAGTCTCCACCAGACTGTCCTTTCTGAGCTCTACCCAGCAGGCATCTTGGTGGGTGGCATCTGACAGAAACTGAGGTTTCTGGATGCTCCTGACACATCCCTCTTGCCCTGCCAGGAATACTGCTGCTGTAACCAATAAAGATACAGCTTCACTTTTCCCCCATGGTATGGTATGCCTATGTTCATTTCCCTTCTTCCCTTGAATGCCTGAGGTCATTTTAGCCTTAAGAGTGCAACATCCATACTATGTTATTTCTGATTATAGTGCACAGATGTAAAAGCTGGACAATGAATAAAACTGACTGGGGAAAAACCCAATTAATTTTAAATGTTGTATTAAAGTTTTGCAGGTACTGTACAATGGACCAAAGGATAGGTCAATAACTTGTTTGGAGAGGCAATAAAGCTTAAATTCTTCCTAAAACCAAAAAGGAATTGTCATACTTAGGACATAACCATGAGAATATTATACTTGATTAAAAAAGGCAAAAATGCTAGGAAAATGGGAGACAGTAAGAAAAGAGCAGGACATGACATGGACTGACGCAATAAAAGAAGCTACTGACTTTAGCTTGCATGACCTAATGTTAATGTTAGGAATTTTTGGAGGCCATTGGCTCACAGGGCCTCCATAAGTGCAAAACAATTTGATGGCTCAGAACAACAGCATAACTATCCATGCTTCTGCAATACCCATGTTACTTTGCTTCTATGTACTGCAAGTGAAATTTCCCTGTGAACTGTTCGGAAATGGTTCAGAACATGCTTAGTGGATTTCTAATCTGCTGATCTGAAGGTACTTAATCCACAAATGTTCATTACTTAGTTCATGAATGTTAATTACTCACTTTGTGTTTTTCAGCAGAATTTAGAGTCATGGTTTTAACTTTAGAGTTCTAAACAGCTTATAATTTGTGTATTTTGTCTTTCACCTTGCAAGGCAGGTTAGTCAGCTGGTACTATATATATCTTTCAGATATCAAGTTAAACCCTCTTTATTTACCAAGATTTCTTAGGGAGGGGAGTGTTTTAGTTTAGTTTAGTTTAGTAACTGTTGTAATTAATCAAAGCTATTATTTATACTTTTGTTGTGTGTCTTTATTATTTGGGCTGGTGAATTTCTTTTGTAAGCATTTTATAGTTGAAAAGAGTCCTTATAAGTATTTCAAATAAAATAAAACACACAATTTAAAACTAAGCCTAAGGAGACTTATTCATGGGTATTTGAGCTAAGCATTGCACTATCAAGAATTAAAGGTGCACTAATAACCCACTGTAGAATATTAGAAAATATGGAATGTCCCGTGTGGTGTAGTGGATAGAGTAATGGGCTAAGACTCAGGAGACCAGTTCAAATGCCCACTCAGCTGTGGAAGCTCACAAGGGTGAGGAACAACAATAGTAAAATCATTCCTTATATATCGGACTTGTATTGAAAGCCTTATTGGGTTCACTTTAATTCAGTTGCACCTTGGTGACACATAACACACATGACATAGAATATTACTTACTGAAGACAAGAAGAGGCAACTGGTGCCAAATCTCTGTCAGCCTATAAACAACAAATGGGGATATTATCCCACCAAGGTCACACATGGAGGAACAGATCATCACCCCGAGGTTTCTAAATGTGAAGGAACAAATAATTATATTTAAAGTTTGCAAATATGTATATAGTTAGTTCAGACAGCAGAGCTTGAAAACAGTTTATGGCTTATCAAACAAAAATTCTTCACTGCGGAAGAAGGAAAGAAGCATACATCCCACATTTTTTTAGACCAGCGAAGAACATTTAGCTTCTTCTAGGTGAGGGAACTAAAGATTGCTGTGGTGATTATGCCATAGCTTTATTTATGGAGAGGAAATCAAGATGTAATGGAAGCAAAAAGATTCTATGGATGCTGTTTCAGAACATCTCATAAAACGACATGGACCACTGTCCCCTAGCAGCTTCAAGTCCTATCAGTGGCAGCCAGTATTTTACACACTCCTTGATTTTAGACATACGGCAACTTCTGGCTGTCTATGTCCTCCTCTAGTCTCTTATGGGTAATATGGATTAACCCTTTCATACTAACTTTCTCATCTCTGTTTTTCTCCACACCCTGGTTTGGTGCCTATTTCCGGTTTTCAATCTCCCTTACAACTACTGTGCAGTAGCTGACAAAATTATTTCCAGATAATTGTTCTCTGTACAGCTTTTTGTGTACACTAGATAAATACTCCAACTATTATCACCATTCTGTTTATTTATGAGCAGGCAGTCTAAATGGAAACAGAAGGTCAGCACAATGACTTCTCGTGACATCAAGCTGATTTTCTTTAGAACTCAGTAAGAAATTGTTGGGAATTAATTCTTCCTGGGGGAAAAAAACACCCCCGCCTCCTGATTCTTCATTTTGACATTGCGAAGAATGTCCTAGATATGCAGTTTCCATTCTGGAATTTGTACTAACATACCTGTAAATCTATGGTAGCAGTGCAGTGACAAATAGAAGTATTAAACATTATCAGAAGTCAACTTCTCTTTGGTAATAAACACACTTACCTCAGGAATGTTGGATACAATTCAGTATTGACAAAGCACACCATTTCAAAAGCCATAGTGACTCCCAATCTGCCTAAGCAACTTGCAATCTCCTTTAGCCAGTACATGTCTGGAAAACAAACAATAACAGGTAATTTTCCAGAGCGGCATATTGCAGGAAGGCAATTTCATACCTATGTCATGGTAGACTATAATTTTCAAAAGAATTGGTGATGAATACATTCTTCATTTTGGAGCAGCCCCAAGTTCCATGGGCAGTGTTAACATTTCTTTTAATTTTGATTTGATGAGAGCACATTGAACATCCCTGATGTCCTGGTGACAGCTTTGCTTTATTTACACATGGACAGAATGTACGTCATTAGTCTATGATGTCCATCAGATGTTATTGGACTGCAACTCCCATCAGCTCTTGTGTCTCAAAGGGCAGCATCTCTAGTTAAATCACTGCTGCATCATCAGCTCTTGTGTCTCAAATGGCAGCATCTCTAGTTAAATCACTGCTGCAAAGCCTCATTCGCCGTGCTTTCTCATTAATCCTTTTTTAAAAAACGCTCCAAAGTTATTTAAATACATATGTCAATATGTAAATATTGTTATTATTGTTATTAATATCTTAGTGGTGCATGTGATCTGCAGGCTGTATTAATAATAATAATTTTGAACATATTTCCTAATGCACACATTTCTAATGTACAGTATTATCTCAATGTCCAGATTTTCAAATGCTCTTTGGTACTCTTTTGCAATGACAACTAAAGCACAACATGCAGCAAAGTGTAGTAGCCAGATGGTAATTATTATCTGTGCATTCAGGAACTGCAGATCAAATCAATTCATAGCTGTTTTTTTAAATGATTACTTTGTATGGAAACTAACAATCTAAAATCGATGCCAATGACTGAAGAGAATGTATTTATTGAGGAAGTTACATGTCTGTAGATAAAATCTGTTCATTATCTCTATGTAACTAATAAGATAAAGACAAAGGAAGATGAGAAAGTAAAGTTGATTCAACCGTATTAATGAATGCTGAATGAAACAACAGGAAACAGAAGTGAAAGAGGGTGCAAGCTAGGGAACCTTGATCACATGTTTTAACTTCTACTGCTCCCTGTGGGCATAGAATTGCTAGCACAAAGCAACAAAGTTGTACTTTCCCACTTCAAACAGAACAGCTAAATTCAATCATCATTTCCACTTGCCAGAATCATTCCTGCCCTTTTGCTTTTGGTGGTCCCACCTGATATCATTCCTACTTGGCTTCTGTAACAAGAAAGTCAATGTTTGACTTGCCTTCTGGTGTAAATGCTGTAACAAAGCAAGCAACTCCTGCCAGCAGATCTGCTGTGGCCCAGGGATAGCGGCGACCTACTCGTTCTATTGTCAATACAAGAATGGCAGCTGCAGGAAATTCAATCAGGGAAGAGTAGAAAAAATCCATGTAAACATTGTTTCCAGAAACTCCAATATGCATGATGAGTCCTTGGTATGTTATGGCGCTTGCAAACCTAGGAAAAGAGCCATTCAGAATTACAAGAAAATTCAAACCCTGAAAGCAGACTAATTTCTTTTCTAGGTATATTTCCTCTAAAATAGGTCATTGTTTTCTAAAGTATATTAATCAGGTTGATACATGATAAAATTTGATTTAGAGCATGTCTTGTTTTCCTTGTATCTTTTCCGATTTAGGACAGGCTTGGTTCACACCATCTCTCATTCTAGTCTAGCTTAACAGTGCTATATTCAAACCATAGAAGTAACTAGTTATAAATAATGTAATTATTGTTATATGCCATTAAATCACATCCAGCTTATGGTGACCCTATTAGTGACCTGCAAAAGGTCCTGTCATTAACAACTCTGCTCAGGTCATACAAATTCAAGGCTGTGGCTTCCTTTATTGACTTAATCCATTTCATATTTAGTCTTCGTCTTTCACTGCTCCCTTCAACTTTCCCCAACAACATTGTCTTCTCCGGTGAGTCTAGTCTTCTCATGATATGCCCAAAATACAATAGCCACAGATGAGTCATGATATGCCCAAAGTACATGTTGTTGTTGTTTAGTCATTAAGTTGTGTCTGACTCTTTGTGACCCCATGGACCAGAGCACGGCAGGCCCTCCTGTCTTCCACTGTCTCCCAGAGTTTGGTCAAATTCATGTTGGGAGCTTCAATGACACTGTCCAACCACCTCATCCTCTGTCATCCCCTTCTCCTCTTGCCTTCACATTTTCCCAACATCAGGGGCTTTTCCAGGAAGTCTTCTCTTCTCATGAGATGGTCAAATTATTGGAGCCTCAGCTTCAGGATCTGTCCTTCCACTGAGCATGCAGGGTTGCTTTCCTTCAGAATGGATAGGTTTGTTCTCCTTGCAGTCTAGGGGACTCTTAAGAGTCTCCCCCAGCACTACAATTCAAAAGCATCAGTTCTTTGACGCTCAGCCTTCTTTATGGTCCAGCTCTCACTTTCATACATCACTACTGGAAAAATCATAGCTTTGAGTGTGCGGACCTTTGTCGGCAAGGTCATGTCTCTGCCTTTTAAGATGTTGCCTAGGTTTGTTATCGCTTTCCTCCCAAGAAGCACGCATCTTTTAATTTTGTGGCTGCTGTCATCATCTGCAGTGATCATGGAGCCCAAGAAAGTAAAATCTGTCACTGCCTCCATATCTTCCCCTTCTGTTTGCCAGGAAGTGATGAGACCAGTGGCCATGATCTTAGTTTTTTTGATGTTGAGCTTCAGACCATTTTTTGTACTCTCCTTTTTCACCTTCATTAAGAGGTTCTTTATTTCCTCCCCACTTTCTGCCATCAGAGAGGTAATAAACAAATGACTATATTAAGATGTTTATATCTGCCACTATGTGTTGCTAGTTCCAGACATTGCCAGGAGCAGCGGTTTTAGCCAGGTGTATGTGTTTTCAATACATAAATAACATTTGGCAGCTCTGTTGTTGCCCCTCTACTCTCCATGTCAAAAAATAATACTCATGGAACTAATTCTAATAATTATTTCTCTCACATCCTTGGCTACCAATTATTCCTCAAAATATTTATTCTACTATCATGAAGAATCCATGTTTCAGCAATAAACCACACCTTTAAAAAGACAAAACAAAGCAAAACCACAAAATAATATATCTAACATTGACTACTTAATCATATTATACTTCATATGTGCTTAGTTTCTTTATATAAATGCATTGATTGATCTCCTACATTATATTAGCTTCAGTTTATAGTCTATGCAAATATGTATTCCATATCAGGATTTCACATGGTATCAATATTTCAGAGAATCAATGAAGCAGAAGTAGATATCTTTCTGGAACTCTCTGGCTTTCTTTAAATATGTGTCTTAAAATCATCAATTTCTAATATTATATTCATCATAAATAAGATCACAAAGTATACTTATTTAGCTTAATAATCTCCCGTGTTCTGTTAAGTTCTATTTTACATCTAAACCTACATATATTTCATATCCAAATTTCACATTGCATAAACATTTCAAATATTGTCCAAATCTCTTATGGCATTAATTGGCTACAGTTGCTTTACATCTTAAAGAGTACCTTAAGATCCACAATTTCTAATGTTAAATTCATCATACATATTTCATTTTACATAATTGATAAATCTTAATTGCCCTTTGTCACCAAATATAAATCAGAATCGTTTTGTTATTGTATTCATCAATTCTTATTGTATTCATCAATTGTCATTTCCCCTTATTTTTATAGCACTCTGAACCTAAAGCTAAAATTTTCTCCTTTTTTTTTTACTAGATTTTTTTTTTATGTTGAGCTTCAGACCATTTTGCCGCTCTCCTCTTTCACCCTCATTAAGAGGTTCTTTAATTCTTCCTCACTTTCTGCCATCAGAGTGGTATCATCTACATATCTGAGGCTGTTCATATTTCTTCTGGCAATCTTAATTCCTGCTTGGGATTCCTCCAGTACTGCCTTTCACATTATGTATACTGCATATAAATTAAATAAGCAGGGAGACAATATACAGCCTTATCGTATTCCTTTCCCAATTTTGAAACAATCAGTTGTTCCATATACAGTTCTAACTGTTGCTTCCTGTCCCACATATATATTTCTGAGGAGATAGATAAGGTAGTCAGGCACTCCAATTTCTTTAAGAACTTACCATAGTTTGGTGTGGTCCACACAGTCAAAGGCTTTTGCGTAGTCAATGAAGCAGAAGTATATGTTTTTCTGGAACTCTCTGGCTTTCTCCATAATCCAGCACATGTTAGGAATTTGATCTCTAGTTCCTCTGCTCCTTTGAAATCCAGCTTGTACTTGGGAGCTCTCAGTCCACATACTGCTGAAGCCTGCCTTGGAGGATTTTGAGCATAACCTTGATAGTGTGTGAAATGAGTGCAATTGTACCGTATTTGGAGCATTCTTTGCCACTGCCCTTCTTTGGGATTGGGATGTAGATTGAGCCTTTTCAATCCTCTGGCCGCTGCTGAGTTTTCCAAACTTGCTGGCATATTGACCTTAGCACCGTAAGAGCATCATCTTTTAAGATATGCCCAAAGTGCATGTTACTTGTAATAAATTTCTCTTTTTGGCAATACAGTGAGGCCTTGACTTACGGATATCCCTACTTATGAAAATTTCAACTTGGAAAAAGCTCCGTTCGCAAAATTTAGCTTCGACTTGCAGCCAGAGCTTCCAGTTACGAATGGAAAAAGGCAGGGGAAAAGGGTGGGAAATTCAAACTGTTGGTGGCGAAGAGGCTGCTTCTTTGTAGCTCTTTTGCCCCAATGGTTAGGAAAAGGGAGGCTCAGGCTCCTGGGCTTCCACCACTGTTGCCAGAGGGAGGGAAGGGTGGCCAGGGGGGCCGTCTGCCGGACACAGACTCAGACTGAAGCCTGGCCAACTTTCACCGGCCCTCCGGGGGTCTGCCGGACACAGACTCAGACTGCAGCCTGGCCAACTTTCACCGGCCCTCCGGGGAAAGCGGGTGCCGTTGAAGGAACATGCTGAGGCTGGCCAGGGTTCCCAGGTATGCTCCACTTCTCTCGGCTCCGGGGCACCTAGGCTCCCGGAGCCCTGCATGCAAGAGTGCCCTGCGATCCAAGGAAGGGCTCTTGCTGCCATGGGATGGGAGTGGCAGGGAGGAGAGAAGGAGGGGGCCTCACTCCTGTTCTGCTAAGCTGCCTGTGCGTCCCCATGAGACTTCCTTGCTGGACAGCCTTCCCCCCTGGGATGGTGAGATAATGGGTGGCGTTGGAAGCCCAGGTGGTGCTAGAAGCCTGGGAGGCCTCCCGGCAGTGGTGCTGGAAATCCAGCAGACCTCCCAGTGGTGGTGGTCATGGCAGCAGTGGAGACAGGGCCAGGCGGCAGCAGTGAAGGTAAGGGCAGTCTCCCAGAGGTGGTGGTCATGGCAGCGGTGGAGCCAGGGCCAGGCGGCAGCAGTGAAGGTAAGGTGCTGCTTTTAGCTTTTTACTGTTTTGGGTGGCTTTTGCAGGGTGGGATTGGGCTGGTGGGATTAAGTTTATGTTTATGTTTAGATTTGTTTTTTTTTTTTAGGTGCAGGGGCTTGCAGTGTTTTATTTTTATTTGCCTTTCGCAGGGTGGGATTGGGCTTTTGGGATTAAGTTTATGTTTATTTTTAGATTTATTTATTTTTTTGCAGGTGCAGGGGCTTGCAGCGTTTTATTTTTATTTGGGGGGGAGCTATTTTTTCTTCGGCCGTAATGGATTATTTAGTTTTCAATGCATTCCTATGGGAAATGGTTCTTCGACTTATAAAATTTCAACTTACGGCCACCGTTCCAATACAGATTAATTATTATAAAATTTCAATTTACGGCCACCGTTCCACTGTAACAAGAATTACTTTTTTAGGACTGTAACTGTCAGAATTTCCTAGCCAGGATGACTACTCAATTAGATGAGACCAGTATTTCCCAACTTGGCAGTCGTGACCCCGCAAGGGGCTGCATGTGATTTGCAGGCTGTATGATTCCATTCCAATGCCAGCCTTAAGTGCCAGCACCTTGTATGAACCCCACTGTATTTACATGCGGGAGGCAGGTGTATATAAAGTGAGCAAGGATGTTTTTGCGGAGCTTGAAATAAAAGGTCTCTTACCAGTTGTACATCAAAATAAGTGTGTATTTTCGCATCTGGGTTGTCCGCACAAGATCGATTGGTGAAGGGCTCAGTTTTGCATTTTTTTCACTTTCTTCTTCAAGGCTGATGCTCTATAAGAGAACTGTTGTAAAATTAACCAAGAGCAAAGTTTCCTTTTTACACAGTGACCCAGCTGTCCTCAAAGCTGCCCTAGAGGGATTTGGGGGTGCATGCGGCTGTTTGCGCTGCCCCCATTTTTAGAATTGCATTGTAACACATTGATTTGCTCTGCCAGCACAAAATCATTGTTGCACTCTTCTGCAATAATAATATAACATCGGCCTCAAGAGGCATCCTACAATGTTTAGTGACTATTCTGGGGTTTTTTAGGATGGTGGTAGTCCTAATAGAGATATTACCTAGGATCATTTTTTTAAAAAAAATCTAATATATCAACAAATTTGCAGCTAGTTTATAAAGAGAACTATTCATTTTTAAATATTTTCTGTTTCATTGTAAAGTCTTGAACTACCTCCATAACACAAATTTCTCCTGAATGTTTACATTTGATAAATAAAATAGCTAAGTAGCTTAATTGTTTTTGGCACATACAAGAGCGGTTCATACGTTGAAATGTTTGCAACTAGGGCCATATGTAAGTCGAGGGTTGACTGTAGTTGAATATTAACATAATGTTTAGTAACGTTTCTTATGGGACAATAGTAATGTTTCTTATGGGACAATACGTCCTGTAAACTACATCAGCTTAAACTGTTGCTGGGATCTGTGTTCCTGATTAACTTTGAATATAGAGTTCTCTGACTAAGGGCATGACATGTAAAGAACCATCTTTCACCAACTCAGATCAGAACATCTACTTTAACAGTATAAGCTCTCTCCCTCTCCTCCCCCTCGGAAGGAAGAATCTAATCTAACAGTTTACTGTGGTTATCTGGTTTTACCTGGATTCTAAGCCCATTTGCCAGATACATTTCATGCTCATTTCCACAATCAGTCGGCTCAAAAGCATCTTCCTCAAATGCTTGCTTTCCCTGCCTCTGTTACATCACTATGGCCTTCCCTTGGAACAGGGCAATGACCCAGCCCTTGCTTTCATATTTTGGTCCTGAAACCTCACGGAATGGGATGAGGGCACCCCAAGTAAATTTATCTGTGTATACTGTCTGCTATCCAAACCCTACAAATTAGAAATGTATTGTTTATTTGAAGACTAATTAATGCTACACAAGGTAGCATTTAACTGACTGCACTTTTGGATTGCCTGGTGAAAATGTTTGGGTCATATACACTATATTTTAATTATGTAGAATGAGAATGACAAAACTATGACTGGATGCAGCACATAATGAAACCAAGATAGAACTGGTAACAAATAATAAAAAGGCATATGAATTGCATATGAAATGTAAATAAAACCAGTGACAAGGTAAGAAGTATAGATCTAACAGTATTAGAAACAGTTCTTGAAATGCCTGGGAGAATAAAAAGAACTTCGTCTGCCATTTAAAATACCACAATATAGGTGCTGGGCAAGCTTCTGTCAGAGTCTGACAGAAAACACATGCCAGCATCTATACCTCACAGGTGAAAGCAGGTAATGTTCTAAAACTTGTGGAGTTCATGTCTAAAGGAACCCCAAGACCTCCTGAGTTCTAGTTTGACACTTTATCCACTAGAACACCCTTTTTCTGTGTGCCAATAAGCATTCACTGAAATATCTAGGCCCCAAACTATTTGTCCTGCACTCTAGGATTGAGAACAGATCCTGCCCCTTCTCTGGAAGACAAACTCCCAAGTATTTGTAGAGTGATACCATGGAAAGGCATTGATAGCAATATTTAAAGACCTAAATAGCTTGGGGCCTAGATATTTCAGTGAGTGCTTCTTGCCACAGAGAAAAAGGGTGTTCTACTGATAGACAGACAGGCTACTGTAGTCAAGAGGGCTTTCTATATGAACCAGCCCCACCTCCCATGGAGTTTGGCTCATATGGACAGACTAGTCTGGGTGCAGCCGCCTTCCCCTTTTCAGACAGTTTAAATCTTTTGTGATTAGAAAGATAAAGCAGGGCTTGTTCAATTCCCTCAACATATGTGGGCTCCCTACACTTAACTGCCCAAAGCATGTCACTAAGTCGGGTGGTATATACATTTTTGAAATAAAATAAAATAATAAGTATACTTCTGAGCATGATTAAATGCGGCTTTACCAGCAGCCAACAAGGAAGCTATTCCCTGATGTATGCTACATTTAAAATTCACCTCAAAATGAGCAGGTAAAACTTTCCCGTTAGTTTTAGCAATATAATTCACAATTTCCATAGCTTTTCCATTCTGTCCTTGAGTGATTAGCCATCTGGGAGACTCTGGAAGGCACCTACAGAGAAAATCAGATGAAGTCAGCAACACTGTGAAGTGTCATATTCTAGAAGAGCAATCCATGTGAGCTTGTTTCATTCATCACATTGAATGGGACAATCACGTTCTCTCTTCCACTTGTCTAGAAACTCTTAAATGTTAGATTCGCTACATTTCAACAAACATTTATAAACAATTATTATTTGTTTAATTAATTAATTATGTGCCATCAAGTCAACTCTAACTTATGGCAGCCCTCTGAAAGGTTTTAAGGTATAAAGTATTCAGAAGTGGTTGTTGTGGGCTTCTCGGGTTCTTTGGCTGTGTTCTGAAGGTTGTTCTTCCTGATGTTTTGCCAATCTCTGGTGGCCGGCATCTTCAGTGGACAGCACTCTGTGCTCTGGTGTAGTTTGCTTGGGAGCGCTGTCCTCTGAAGATGCCGGCCACAGAGATTGGCGAAACGTTAGGAAGAACAACCTTCAGAACACGGCTAAAGAGCCCGAAAAACCCACAACAACCATTAGATCCTGGCCATGAAAGCCTTTACGAATATATTCAGAAGTGCTTTATCAGTCCTGCCTTCTCATGGCATTTTGGGGCTGTGCAGTCTGCCCAAGTTCATACAAGTGGCCAGGCACACAAACCTATCAGCCGCCCACATTTTAGGTGATCTCACCTGGCTCTTGTACTGGGAGACACAGTGGGGATTTGAACTGGCAACCCTACCTCCTTGGCCAGGTGCTCCTAACACTCTGAAATAAAGCATCTCTATTGTCTGTTCAGATCCCTTGGAGATTTAATTCATCTCTCTAAAACTGCAGGACTTACTGAAATGCTCAAGCTTGATGGCCCAAACATACACCAGAAGTACTCTAAGTGCAAATGCTGCCCTTCAGTGTTGACAAGCAAATGCCATTTAACATGCCATATTGAAAGTGGCAGCTGTTCTCCACTGGAACATATTTGCCATGTAAATCCCACATCCCATAAAAAAGGACTACCTTTCTCATTTCAGTCCAGGATTTCTAATTTTCAGGTTAGGTGTGTGTGTACAGTGGACCCGCGACTTACAGACGGCTCGACTTACAGACTTTTCGAGTTACAGACTTCTCTGGCTGCAAAATTTAGATTCGACTTGCAGCCAGAGAATCGACTTACAGACCAGAAAAAAAAAACCAAAATGGAATAAAAATAGAATAAAAACCACTGGTTATGGGATTAATCGGTTTTCAGTGCATTGTAGGTCAATGGAGATTCGACTTACAGACTTTTCGACTTGCAGCCACCGTTCCAATACAGATTAATTCCTTAAGTAGAGGGTCCACTGTAGATACTACTTATTGCTTTGATTAGTCAAGTCTTTTGGTAAATAATCATTTTATACACTGAATGGCAATTTGGTCCTCAACCTGAATTGTTAGCATAGTAGGCAAGTCAATCCCTAATTATCAAAATAGCAGTGCAATAGCATTTTGGTAGAAATGTTATCAGCACGATGCCTTCTGAGTATGGATCAAACTGTGAGACTGTATACCAAGCCTCCCTAACGAAACAAATTGCAAGGAGAAACACTCCATTAGGCCTCTCCCTTTCTGTCAGAGACCCATTCACAGAAACATACTGAATGTTGACCTGAGATGCTTTGCTCCTTCAATTCAAAGAACAATGCAACAACCTTCACCCACCAATTCAAGTGTTTCTGAATCTTATTTCAGGAAGGCAGCAGGCCCTTCTCTTCCTGAAAGCAGGTTAGCTTAAGGGAAGCTGCACAGGTTGCTGCTGCATGGCTCACACGCAGTTTTGTCTTGCAATACTTTCCTCCATTCAGAGCACGTTACCATAGTCTTTCGAGACTGAAGGATGCCTAACTAACTTTACTGTTGCTCTCCAGCATCTGTTTGCTAAAGGCAAGTACCTCACTCTGCCTAATACCATGGCCATCCCTGAGCCTGCCACTCACTCCCATTGCCTAGAAAGAAGCCCTGCCACTAAGCAGCAGTCATGGTAGGAGCAGAGTGAAGGATTTGCCTTTTTTTTAAAAAAAAATGTATCTCAGAACCATTCACCTACAGGGGGAAAGAAAAGGGAGAGGGAAGAGGTGATATTCCTAAACTACTGAGGATCAAGGCCATCCTTCTAAGCTGCATAGGCCCAGCCCCTCACAGCTCCATCTGTTGCAATTAGAGCAAGTGGGATGCAGACTTTTGGCAGAGAAATAAAACACTGAAAGACAGTGATGACAACCATCTTACCAGTAATAGAGCATAAGAAGGAAAGTTGGCAGAGTGACAGCAAGCTGAAGCCATCGCCAGTGGGGAATTGCATAAGCTAATGCATCAAGGAGGAGGAGCCCAATGCCAAATGCTGCTTGATAGAGGATGGCCACCGTCCTCCTGTAGCGTGCACCCACGATTTCTGTGACTAGAAAGTAAATGAGTTGGTCTCTGTTTTAACAACTTCATACCCCACATGCACTGGATCATTCCTTAGGGCTGGGCAGGGAAACTTCCAATTAGTTTTGGACTATTGTTCCCATGAACTTTTGCCACTGGCAATAACCAAAGGGAGTTGGAGATTACAGTGGGGTCTCTACTTAAGCATGTCCCTACTTAAGAACAATCCAACTTAAGAACAGCTCCATTTGCTAAATTTTGCTTCTACTTGAGAACAGAAATCCAAGATAAGAACAGGAAAAAAACCCTTTCCTGCTCTTTTTTTAACCTTAGGTCATCTTAGGTTTTAAAAAAAATTCTCCCCTTAGTGGTAGAGGACCTATTAACCAGCTTTGGTTAATGTACGAACGCACCTCTCCATAACAAAAAAACAGCCAGAAGAGATTATTTGGTTTTCAGTCCATTCCTATGGGAAATGCAGATTCAACATAAGAACTTTTCAACTTGAGAACCTCCTTCCAATACGGATTAAGTTCTTAAGTAGAGGTTCCACTGTAGTTTCGATGGACAGAAAAGAGCAGATACGGATTAAATGGTTTTCAATGCATTCCTATGGGAAATGCAGATTCAACATAAGAACTTTTCAACTTGAGAACCTCCTTCCAATACGGATTAAGTTCTTAAGTAGAGGTTCCACTGTAGTTTCGATGGACAGAAAAGAGCAGATACGGATTAAATGGTTTTCAATGCATTCCTATGGGAAATGCAGATTCAACATAAGAACTTTTCAACTTGAGAACCTCCTTCCAATACGGATTACGTTCTTAAGTAGAGACCCCACTGTAAATGCAACTTCATCTCTGCCTTAGTTTTTAAAAAGATGCTAACTGTGCAAAAAACGCAGGTGATTACAGGGAACACAGTTGCTTCAAGAATGGAAGAAATGAAACATGGAAGATCTGCTTTCAAATGAAATGAAACACTCTTTTGTGTCTGTGCATCTCTCTGTGTGTAGCTCAGATCTGTTGGGGTAAGGATGGGGAACAGTGACCATCCAGTTAATTTTGCTCTGCAGCTCACAAGAATTCCTATGCTGGCTTGGCCTGATGAGAGCTGTAGGTGAAAAACATTCCACAGGTGTCCCATCCTTCCAGTAGAGGAAGACTGTAGGTTTTTCAGAAGTATCATAATGATCATCCTTATAAAAATAAGGTTCTTACAGGTACCTTTGGGGCCATAATCAAGTGCACACCTTGGAAAAGTTACCTTTGTAGACTATATCACCCAGAATCCTGTAAAATTCTAGGGAGTGTAATTCAAAAATACTAGGTTTGCTTAAATCCAAGTATCTCTCTTTTACTATTTCATCCCGACATATGTGGCTAACCTGTGAGACTTACTTAAAACATCACCTGCCATCTTGTTACACTTAGGAAAGATAATTTGCTGGTAGCTTCTATCTCCTTTTAATTTCTGCCAGCAGGTTCTTCAAGTTTTTGAAATACTTTGAAAGCCTGCCAAAATCCATTTGACCAGAAACAGTAACTGGACAGAAATAAGAAAAAATATATAAGGGTGCTTCCACCATACAAACCACAGTTCTGGGCTCAGCCAAGCATATTTTGCAGCCTGTGGCAAGGCAGTAAACATTACCCACTCACCACCCAAATACGTCCATTGCACCCATCATCTTGGTGCAAGATGGAAAGAGAGTAAAATGGAAAAGACACAAATTAAATAACTAATACCTTTTTCATGACACCTAAAATTTTCTATTTGGGGCACCTGCCTCACTATGCTTAACAGCAGGACAGGCTGCACACAGCTATTTTGTAAGGGAACTATTGTCTTCTGTAGCCTTCACTGCTTTGCTTCACTGATGGGGCAAATCTCCCCCCCCCCACCCATCTGTAATCAATACTACTCTCAGAGAAAGCATCAGACTTACTTAGGATGTAGCCTGCTGTCCAACTGCCCTTGCTGATCAGTCCTTGTATGAAGCGAAATATGACGGCGGATAAGTAGTTTGGTGCTACAGCCACAAGGACTCCTGAGATGGACATTACCATGGTGGTAACTAGGACACTTGTTTTTCGCCCAAACCTGGATTAAGACGAATGACAAGCACAGGAAAGAATGTAGAAAAGGCTTTAAAATAGATAAGCAGATGCAGCTACAAGTGGGGGTGGGGAGGGAGGGAGAAATAGAATGTAAATGGCATAAAAATTATTTCACAAACCTTGGATTCTTTTTATTCTCTGAATAAGGACTATGTGCAGATGAATATGTGATGAACTTGGTGTTCATCACATATTGGTGGGGGCTGGACTTCATTACTCCTGAAGCCCCTTTCAGTTTTTCAGGTCTGTGATTGATGTACTGTTTGATGAGGTCTTTGCTTGCATCAGAAGCATGACAATACAATTAATAAATATACCAGATAGCTTTTGCCCAGTAACAGGCAACATCAAGAACACATGGGGCAGCTAGCATCAAAATTTACATGGTACATGTTCAGGAGCATACAGTGCATTACTATTGAAGTTGCCAGAAGGAATGTGAGGAACGTGAATACATTCAGGTGTTTCCTGAACAATAGCAGCATCCTGTTGGTTGATTCTTCCACTCCAGAAGTACCAAGGTAAGGCAACTCATTGTACAATGAGGTCTATAACTGTCACTCATTTCAAATTAATCTGATAAAAATTGCAACAGCAATGGCACATCTAAGGGACTCAGGGAAACTTTTCAGATTGGCTCCCTAGAGGCATGGCTAACGTGGGAGAGGCAGGGCCAACTTGGCTAATTCATTAGTTTTTCTTTTCAAAATTATTGAATCTCTACCTACCTGTCTGCTATGTATCCAACATATATTGACCCGATGAAAAAACCAGCATTCACGCATGCTTGAAACACATCCAGCTTCCAGGAGTTTTCACACACCAAGTTAAACTGTGGGACACAATCAGGAAAAATATAATAAAAGAGATTTGTCACTAGAACATGGATATGCAGAAATTACAAAGAAAGCTACAATAACCCTAAAGTCTGCTGGTGTAATAAATAATATAAATGGAGCAACCTGCTGTATATACACAGCCTTCATGCAAAAGAGGTTTTAGAGGCAATAGAAACAGTCATTTTCACACACTGACTAATGAGAAGCAATGTGAACTAAGGGTCTAAGCCATCATGACATGGATGCTTATCGACCTTACGGCCTTTATGTACAGTCATGTGAAAAAGGAAGTACAGTATATCATCTTTGAATTCTATGGTTTTATGTACCAGGACATAATAAAAATCATCTGGTCCTTAGCAGGTCTGAAAATTAAGCAAATACAACCTCAGATGAACAACAATACATGACATACTACACTATGTCATTATTTATTTTACAAAAATCAAGACAAAATGGAGAAGCCATGTGTGAAAAACTCAGTGCACCCTTACTCCTTCCTTAGGAATTAAAAGGCTAAGTAGCAGCCAGGTGCTGCTAACCAAATGCCCTGGAGTAACTGATCATCAGCAAATGTGACCACCTCTATAAAAGCTGAAGTTTTAGCAATTTGTTGGTCTGGAGCATTCAGGTGTGTGTTAACACAATGCCAAGGAGGAAACACATCAGCAATGATCATAGAGAAGTCCACCAATCTGGGAAGGATTATAAGGCCATTTCCAAACAATTTAAAGCCCATCATTCTACAGTGAGGAAGATTATTCACAAATGGAAAACATTCAGTACAGTTGCCAGTCTTCCCAGGAGTGGACATCCAAGTGAATTCACCCCAAGGTTAGACTATGCAATGCTCAGAGAAACTGTAAAAAACTCCAAGAGTTACACCTCAGATTCTACAGGTCTCGGCAAGTTCATGGCACTGCAAATAGAAAAAGACTGGACAAGTATGGTTTGTTTGGAAGGGTTATCAGGAGAAAACCTCTTCTCTCTTAAAAAAAGAACATATCAGCATGGCTTAGGTTTGCAAAATTGTTTCTGGACAAAGCATAAGCTATCTGGAACAATGTCATTTGAACAGCTGAGACCAAAATAGAGATGTTTGGCCATAATGCACAGCGTCACATTTGGCTAAAACCAAACAAAGCAAATCAGCACAAACACCTCATATCAACTGTCAAGTGCAGTGGTGGATACGAGCCTCAGGCACAGTGGTTAAACTGCTGTACTACAGCCAAAACTGGACTCATGACCCAGGGTTCAATCCTAGGTAGTCGACTATCCCAGCCTTCTGTCCTTCCAAGTTTGGTAAAATGAGTACCCAGGTCACTGGTGCGTGGGAGCAAAGTCTGCATAATTAATGGAGTGATTCAGTTAAGGGCTCAGCTGAGAACCAATATGTAATTACTGAAGGATCCTAGCTAAGGACTTCATCTGAGAGAAATGTAAAGACATGGACTCCCCATATAAGGCAGGCTCCCATGATGAAACAGTGCAAGAAATAACTGTTGTCTTTACCTGCAACTTGCCTTGGTATTTCCTGGAGTTATCGTGACCCTTGGACTGGACCTGGACTTAACACCCAGAGAATGTTTTAAGTGCTGGGGGGGAGTATATAAGCAGCACACTTTGCTTTGCTTTGCTTTGCTTTGCTTTGGAGTGGTGATGATTTGGGCTTGTTTTGCAGCCACAGGACCTGAGCACTTTGCAGTCATTTAGTTGACCATGAACTCCTCTGTATACCAAAGTATTTTAGAGTCAAATATGAGGCCCTCTGTCTGACAGCTGAAACTTGGCTCAAAGCTTGGATAATGCAAGAAGCCAATGATTGCAAGCATACCAGCAAATCTACAGCAGAATGGCTGAAAAAGAAAGTAATCAAGGTGTTGCAATGTCCCAGTCAAAGTGCAGACCTCAATCTAACTGAATTGCTGTGATGGGACCTTAAGAGAACTGTGTATAAATAGGTATAGGTAAAGATTCCCCTTGACAATTTTGTCCAGTCATGTCTGACTCTAGGGGGAGGTGCTTATCCCTGTTTCCAAGCCATGGAGCCAGCATTTGTCCGTAAGCCGTTTCTGTGGTCATGTGGCCAGCACAACTAGACATGGAACGCCGTTACCTTCCCCGTGAAGTGGTACCTATTTATCTACTCGCATTTTTACATGCTTTCGAACTACTATAGATAAATAAATGCCCGCAAACTTCAATGGACTGAAGCAATGTTCTAAAGAAAAATGGGACAAAATTCCTTCACAATGATGTGAGAGATTGATAAAATCACACAGAAAATGATTTGTTGTTTGTTGTTTAGTCATTAAGTCATGTCCGACTCTTCGTGCCTCCATGGACCAGAGCACACCAAACCCTCCTGCCTTCCACTGTCCCCCGGAGTTGGGTCACATTCATGTTGGTAGCTTTGATGACGCTGTCCAACCATCTCATCCTCTGTCATCCCCTTCTCTCTTGCCTTCACATTTTCCCAATATCAGAGTCTTTTCCAGGAAGTCTTCTCTTCTCATGAGATAGCCAAAGTACTGGAGCCTCAGCTTCAGGATCTGTCCTTCCAGTGATGACACAGGCTTGATTTCCTTCAGAATGGATAGGTTTGTTCTCTTTGCAGTCCAGGGGACTCTGAAGAGGTTCCTCCAGCACCACAATTCAAAAGCATCAATTTTTCGGCGCTCAGCCTTCTTTATGGTCCAGCTCTCACTTCCATACATCACTACTGGAAAAACCATAGCTTTGACTATGCGGACCTTTGTCAGCAAGGTGATGTCTCTGCCTTGTAAGATGTTGCCTTTGTCATTGCTTTCCTCCCAAGAAGCAGGCATCTTTTAATTTTGTGGCTGCTGTCACCATCTGCAGTGATCATAGAGCCCAGGAAAGTAAAATCTGTCGCTGCCTCCATATTTTCCCCTTCTATTTGCCAATAGAAAATGATTACTTCAAGTTAATGTTTCTAAAGGTGGTTCTACAAGCTACTGAATCATAAGGTATACTTACTTTTTCACACATGGCTTCTCCATTTTGTCTTGATTTTTGTAAAATAAGTCATGACACGTTGTAATATGTCATGTGTTGTTGTTAATCTGAGGTTGTATTTACCTAATTTTCAGACCTGCTAAGGACCAATTAATTTGTATTCATAGGCATCCTTCAGTCTCTAGAGACTATAGTGATGTGCTCTGTATGGAGGACTTTGACCCTGTATGCAAAGCTGGAGTGTCGTCTCCAGAGCACGAAGCTTGGGTAAAACACTATGGAGGATAGGCTGCTACCCAAGCAGCAAATTCCCCCTCTCCACATCACTGAAATAGTCCAATGGAAAGGCAAGAGCCAATACAACTGGTTCCAGCGATGTCGTAGGAGTTGTCAGAACGACACGAACTGCCTCCAGGACTCCGGCTCCGGATTTTGCCTCGAGGTTTATTCCTGAAGCCTTTTCCATCAGTGGATATAGCCACAAGGCAGTGGAGGTTTGAAATCGGAGTTTTCCTTCTCCTAGATGGGCTGCCTTCCAAGGCTAAGGAGTCCCACCTACCTGGGGATTTTTATTATGTCTTGATATATAAAACCATAAAAATCAAAGAGAGTGTACTTTCTTTTTCACATTACTGTAGTTCTACTTTGTTCCGTTCAAATAGACCTTCTGCAATATAAGCCAAGTTCTCTGATTGTGTCCAGACAGGATGTGATATGACGGAATATTTATATACTGATTGTGACATAGTTCCATTGGGTACTCTGTTGTTAAGTGAGGTTAAAGCTAAATAAATCATCAATATCTAGCAGAAACTGATAGAGTTAAAAGCACTTGATAAGTGGTTACTTGGACTCTGTAATTTTGCCACTCAAAATAATTCTAAGATGCCAGTGTGTTGGCGTCTATTGAGCCTACATGTAGGCAGGCTGAAGAGGCTTAGTGATAGGCGAGAATACAATGCTCATGAACCCTGTGTCTGCTTAGGGAACTTGTGGTGCTCCAGTTCCTAGCCCTCACCATTGGCTGTGCTTGCTAGATTTGATTTACAGTACAACATCTGGAAGGTCACAGTGTGGCTTACGGTAATGCTGCCAACAACATACTCACTGGTATGAATCTTCTTTCCTCAGTAGATCTCTCTACCCTATCATTGAGATGATGGTGGTGATGATTCTGGTTCTTATGCTGCCCTTAATGTTATTTTTATAAACTAGCTTAATGAAGAGTTCTGAAGAATTGGAAAGTGTGCATGACCTTTTGTGGCAATTTAGTTTGTCTTAGGGCCCCTTCGAATTGTTCTTGGTTACATAAGAAGTAGTGGTTATACTGCAGTATTGCAGTGAAGATTCTACTCATGATGTGAGTTCAACCTATGGTTCAGGTAGCTGCTTTGAGGTTAACTCAGCCTTCCATCCTTCTGAGGTTGGTAAATTGAGTGCCCAACTTGCTGGATGGAAGGCAATGTGTAACCTGCCTAATTAAAATTGTAAATTGCCTAGAGAGCACTATGGAGTGTTATAAAATCAGCACACTTCATATCTTTTTCAGCTTACATAACACTACAAAGGTGGCCAAAGACGTAGTTCTTTTTCTTTCTTTCTTTGTATTACACAGCTTCTCATCATTCTGCAGCTTCCCATGCTTGCCACAATGAAAGAAAAACCACCTGTCAACCACCTAAGTATGAGAAGATGGAGGTTCCTGAACCTCACCTAAGACAATTTCTCCAAAATGTTTCCTACCTTGCAATTCTTTCCAAAGAGTATTTCTTTTCTATAAATTGCAAGAACATGATCAGAATTTCTCATAAGGGGATTTTTGGTTTAGCACTATACTTAAATAAATGTTTGTGTATAACAGGTACAAAAATGACCTTTCAATGTTGTTTTTGTTTTTGTTCTGTTGAGTTATTTGAGACTGATCTTGTTTTTCTGTTCTCACTAATTGGGCTCAAGCTGTTAAGTACCTGTAAAGCTAATGACCATAACATATTAAAAAGGGCAGCAGTTC